GACAAACATGCAGTGGCCCACGATGCACGCGTTGTGGCTGTCACGAGGGCCCGGCTCGGCACTTGACGTCCGGTGGACACTCCAAGCCACTGTCGAGAGGTTGCTGACCAAAAAGTCGAATGCTTTAAAACAATAAAGCTTCATACAGAAAGATTATAATTATGAAAAAAATTAATTTGATATGTGCACATACAAACTAATACATATATATCAAACATATTTCGGTATTGCATAAGGTTGAGAGTTAGAACATACCTTGGCATCAACATCTCATGTAACTTCAACTTTACCATAAATTTTGCATTACCACGAAGGATAATATCAAGCCCACGACCAGCCATATTCGTTGCAATAGTAACTGTCCCAAGACGACCGCTTTGAGCTACAATTTCCTCTTCTCTTTCTACATTTTCTGGTTTGGCATTCAAAACCTAGTAATATTACATGAAATGAGAGTCTAAAAAAAAAGCAGAAAATATGATAGTTTTGATCATTCACCTCTCACAGTGCAAGCATAAAATGCAATTTTTTTTTTCAACGAACCTCATGTAAAATTCCAGCTTTACGGAGCTGGTTCGAAAAAAAAAAAAAAAGGCAAAAGCTACAGCCTTTCTCAGAACACATCAACCTAATATAGTAATTGTCATTTCTAATTAGACGACTGAAATTCTAGCTAAAACAAATTGAAACCCCAAGAGGCAGCAAGTCACCAACAGGTTAGTTGAACCTAAAAAACTTAATATGCAACAGACAAACCCCAATAGACACTATCTATGTAAACTCCACCAAAACCCAATCTTTAAATGGCATAACCTTTGAACACCGACAGGCAGAGCAAACGTTACTACGTTAGCCCACCAAGGATTTCATTCAAGAACTCATTTTTCGAACAAATTTTAAACAAAGATTTGAACTTTAACATAAACCTGCAAGCAAATTTCACACTTCTATGAAAAGAAAGAAAGATATAAGGAGAAAGAGCTCATCAGAAATTCCCAATATACTCTCAAGGGCTGCCCCAAAGAATCCAATCACTGTACCAACCACAATTTTCTAGCCAAGTTCCATATCCTGTAAATTCCCAATATGCAATAATCAATCAACTTGTCAAC